TCTTCGGGGTGGATACGATCTCGTTCGCTCTACAACATTACCGACACGGTATACTCTCGGTGCCAATATATTGGTGACGGAGGTGCTTACTGCACTACTTGCAATGTTGCAAATTGAACCTGGAACTGAGGCCTCGCTACACCGCAACACTTGTGTCCGTTGGTCTGGCTCAGCTCCATTCCTTTGCCTCCGCTAGGCCTACGTAGACAGATGCGGCTACTTTGGCCTGTAGCCGTTCCATAGCCGAAATCCATAGCCGTTTTGGGTTTTCTGGCACGCTTGCTATGCCGTTCCTTTGTTGGTCTGGTGGTTTCCGTTCGCCCTTGCAGGGCTGCCCTCCTCTGCGGATCGAATAGCCGAGTGCGTGCAAGACATTTATCCCCAGCACTACCCTGTCATCTCCTCCTTTTCTAACAAAGAAGGCAGCTCGGCATCGAGGTCCGTTATGTAATTCCAGGGTAAGACGAATGGCGCCTTTGAGATTTATCAAATTGCCGGAAGCTTCATAGACTGGTGGATATTCCCTCTGCGGAATCTGTTCCACGTCCGTGTTTCCGCCTATGTCGCAACCCTTTTCCTGAGCTGTCAACAGCAGATCGAGAGGCATAATACTGACTTGTGATCCAAAATTTACCAGTGCTTCCCTTTTCAGGCCAAAAAACATCATCGTTTCTAGTATCTGGCTGCCCACTAGAGCACTAGCTTTCTTCCCTGCAACAGTACTGCATGCCCAATGCCGCAGTACGGTGGAAAAAGATCCTGCATCACGTTCATTCGTGGCGTCGCCTCTGCCTCCATGTGACACCTCTCTTAAACCACTGGGAGTGTACTGGATGGTTGGAATTTCCTTGCAATCCCTTTTAAAATGTCCAGGCTTTTTGCAGTTGTAAGAGAGCAATTCTCGGTCCGTTCCGAACTGCTGCATGTTATGATTGGGGTTTCGTGACCTTCGCGTTCTTGGTGCTCCTTTTCCACTATCATTTAACCCATGTGCTCGCGCCCCCGTGTCGCTTGTTGTCCTGCGGTTTTGGGCTTGCTTGTGGCCTCCTGCTGCAAGTGCAGTGCCACTTCCCTACTCCTTTCTATCCGCTGTGCAAGGGCTTTGAGCTTCTCATAGGCTTCTGCCGCAGGAGTTTGTTCTACCTCTGTAAAGAGTTAAACATACTTCGGCCAGTCCGTGAGCTGTGCAATCAGCTCTCCGGTGCGCAAAATGGAAAGCTCCCTTTCCGACGATTCGGGGTACGCTGCCCTGGTCAGCTGCTCTAGCCGAACACAATACTCCGAGATACTTCTGGAGTACAGAATGTTCTTGAGGCTAATGTATGCCTCCATTCTGTTGGCAGAGTCGTTTTCCTTGATTTTGGCTTTTAACCCGGCTAATCTTGAAAAATTCCTTCCCGAACCTCTAAAGGGAGAGCCTCTACCACCACCCGAGGTTGTTCCGCTAGCTTTGAGCATAACAAGTGGATGAGCACATCATCCCCAAGCTCAGTCCCCCGTATTTGATCATAAACGAGCGCAAAAATTTCTCGAACCCTTTGCCTTGCGCGTTATCAAACACCGGGACATCTGGCAGAGCCATCGCGGTAAATGCGAAGCACATTACATTTGTTAACCCCGTTTCCAAACTGAAGTTTTCATTCCTACCTTAGGAGTTCTGCCTCGACGTCCTGGAGGGGAATCCCGGCGGCCTTGGCGGCTCTCTCACGAGCTGCTCTCTCTGTAAAGAAGGAATTGCCCGCCTCTGCGGCAGAATGTTGCGCCTTACTTGCGCAGTACTAGCACTCGAGTGCTTACCTCGGGCCACTGCAATCGGATCGAACTCCGTCAGCTCTAGGTTCCTGGGCACTTCACCCGTGTGCACTCGTGCTAGTGCATCTTCGAAACTGGTTGGTGGTTGGTCCACAGGTTGTGTTGCATAGGGGCTCTAAATAACCCTACATTAGTTAGTTCCAGACCTTCTACACCCGTTCGCGGCTCCTCTATTCGCGAATTTCCAGCTGCTGACTCTAGAATGCGCTGCACGCTATCTACTACTTCGGTTGAGTCTACCGCCAGAAGCTGTGATAGCTTTCGCATCGCGCAATCAATCGTCATACTGGGCTTTTTCCAGCGTTTCGGACGGATTTTTCACTAGTTGGTCTAGATCCACGCCTTTGAGATTGCTAAGCTCTTCACCTAGTTGCTCAATTCCGCAGGCTTCTGACTCTAGTCTGTTACAGACTTCGTCTATTTGCCGAAACTCAACGCCCATATTCTTAGGGCTTTTCTTGCGTTCCGCTTTTCGCGTCCTACCCACAAATTTGCGAATTTCAGCTATGCATTCGCGCATTGTTGCTGATATTACGCTTACCTGAGCTGCTTGCCTCTCGGTCAGTTGGCGCACCTGCTGCGTCAGGCTGGCAATTTGCGCTTGCATTTCTTCCATGCGCTTGCCTTCATTGCCTTCCAACAAAAGCATGGCCTCTATCTCTTCATCGATAGACTGGGCCACTTTCCTGCAATAGGAACAATCAATCCGTATCGATAAAATTTCTGTTATCGATCGGCGAGGAGATTACTGCTTCACTCGACTCTGAAGCTAGTAACTTTCAAAATTCCTACGGTGATGCGCAGGTCCCCTCGTGCAGAGATTTCCCTTTACGCGGGTCTGCTTCTGGCCTCCGCAGACAGTCTGTGGAAGACCGGCAGTTCACCCCACAGTGATTCCAGGTACCACCTCGATCAGAGGTTCTCTACCTGTTTATGTGCTCTCACAGTCTTCCACAAACGAACTGTGGATCGACTAGCACAGTTGCGTCCGCCAAAAAGAAAACCACAAAAGAAAAATTTTCCCTTAATAATTTGCAAAAGAAATTTTTCCCTTTTTGTTTGGTTCGGCCCCCATGTAAAAAATATGCTTTGGTGGCGGGCCACGTGGGCTAGAAGGATTTTTCCACGGAACAACGGAAACAACTTTACTAGCGGAAAATAAAAACAAAAGCAACACGTGAAGAACAAGTCTGCCCTGTTGGCCATCCAAGGTGGAAAGATAGACAAAAAAAGAACAGAAATAGGAAAAAAACCAATCAGTCGTTGCGGCTACCGCCGCTCCTCGTCTTCACAAAATCCACCACTACTCAACAAAAACAATCGACAAGCGCTCTTGGCGCGCGTAGGTCAAGTCGATAATCTACTGGATCAAAACGCTCCTTCTTCCTTACACAAAGATATTATACCTCCTTCCTTTGCTGCGAAAAAAAATCGTATTCAGTATCAAGGCAGATAGCATATGAGCATAGAAGCAAAAAAATGACAATCCGCTGTCACAAAAAGGAAAATCACGCGATACAGTGATAAAAACAAGGCCAGCGGCGTTGTGCGCGCGGCATGGCCTCTACACGCTGCGCGTACGGTAGCGTTCGTGCGTAGATATTGACTGCACTACGCGGCGCTGGCCCCCATAAACAGTCGACTGGATACCTCCGGAGCGAAAGTGGGAGTGTCGCGGGCTTTGCCCAGCGGGGGTTTGCCACTCGTGCTCCGGAGCCCTCCGGAGTGACGTCACGGTGACAAGAAGGCGAATGGGACCCCTCCCCGGGGCTCGCAAATCTCTGTCCCGGAAATGCGCCAGATTTGGAGGAGCCCAAAAGCACCAAAATGGGTAAAATGGGAGGACTCCGAAGCACGAAGTGGCAGACCCCCGCCATTTGCCCTCCGGAGGTATGCCTTCGATTGTCTGAGCCGTTAGACGCTTTGTACCTAGTCAGACAATCGACGGCATACCTCCAGAGGGAAAATGGGAGGGTGTCGGGGTCTGCCCAGCGGGGGTTTGCCACTCGTGCTCCGGGACTGTCAGCTGTCGGTGCGTGCGGAGCCTATCAGTGTAACTCCTACGCAAAAAAGGAGTACGAAAAAATAGACTGCCGCTTTAGGCCTCGGGCAGAGTTCACGCGATTGAATCGTCGCGATGATCGCGATAAGGCAACTGTAACCGTGACTAACTATCACAACCGAAATACAAGATCGGCATGCGATGAACTTGTAACACTTATCTTGTAGCGACTGAATCGCATTACAATACGATCAGATTGCGTGAACTCTGTCCGAGGCCTTATGAAGAAACTTGGCTTATTATACAAAAGCGCATGCCAAACATCTGTGCAATCAATAAATCACCATATGGCGTGGCCACATTAATGCCTATCTAAACGCTAGACCAAAATCGATGGTAATTAGCGTCAGCTGAGCGCTCTATATCCATTAAGCAGCAGCTTTGTTTATAAGGCCGGCTCAAAAAGTGCTCAGGCACAAATCTTATACGACGATGTGACTCCTGCCCAAGAAATGATAATTTAGGCACTTCCATTGTATTTCTAAAATGAAAGACCTTCGAAACCTGCTCGCAAAAATCAAATGCAACCAATTAATTGGCGAGATGGAGATCAAGCGTTCGAAGGCAGCGTCCCGGCGGGATGGTGGATACCGAGATTTTGAAGCGTTGCAGTGGCAGGCCCCCAACTAATCTATCAGTGAAGTCTGGAGCGAAAAGGCGCGTTTGAGAAGCCTAAAATTCACTTTGGAAGTCTCACGGGCTTGATGGCCCAGATGCTTCAGCAAAGCGAGGGAGCTCCGAAGGTGAAAAAGCGGTGAGATTTTGGCGGGACACAGCTTTCAACGGAAGTTTACGAAATACTATATAGCAAATTGTGCCAAGTCGCCCAGCACTTCCTTCTTTCCTGCGCGATTACTTTTTTGCCCGTGTCATTTATTGAGTTGTAAGATACACTAACTCCTCCATACTATGAACTGTACCAAAGTAAATATGCACATTTATTGAGTAGTGGTTCATTTTCCGCATCCGGACACGTAAACCGGAAGTTCCCCTTCTCAACTGAAGTAATCGTTGTGCACCATAATCCCTCATTATTACCGCTCCTGCAAGTTCGATTCGATGTGATAACCGCCACGAAAGCTTTTTACAAGTCAATCAAAAAACACACTGTTGACATAATGCTTTCAGAGACAGGGCGAACCTCAAACCCATATATAGGCACGTCATATGTCTCAAAAACTCGACCATATCAGCGTTCGCCTGTTTCCTCCGCCAAGAAGTACTGCGATGCTCCACTCGCCGGGTCCCCTACATTATGCACCCCCTGAAGATCCGCCTATTGACTATACTTTACATGCGCCGAAAAAGAGAAGTGAGTTTGTAAGAAGGTTTGGAAGTAACCATCACCAATTTTTTACACGACACAGCTTTGAGTTTAGGCATAATCGATTTCATTGCATTTCGTGGCACTTATAATGGTGTATGCCAAGAGGCGCGATTTTCATAACCAGATGGACACCAACTAAAGCATTTTTAGTGTTTTATGATGTTCTAGGAGCAAATCACTTTTTAAAAGATATGTATGATTGTCCCATGGGTTGCTTGATCTTATTGTGAGATAGATTCAGAACATAAGTGTTGTAGGTCAGAAACCCTTGAAAATGAAACTAATGACGTTCTCGTGAATATTTCAATCAAGTTTTTACCAGCCATCAAACTTAACAAATGGTAGCTTCAGAGCTTAGTAAACTAATGCACTTAGTCTGGTGTCCTCGAAAGATCGCATAGCTCTAAATTGAACTCTTAAGTTGGTGATACCTGGAAAAATCGCGCCTTATGAGCGCCTCCCGCACTTATATTGACTACTTGTACATCAAAGCAGAATAATAAGTTAAACTGCTATAACATCTGTAAGGCCACAGAATGTTTTGAGACAAGGTTTAGAAGGTTTCCAAAGAGGGTGAGTGCCACACCTTTGCCTCAGACAACAAATGGGCTCGCTTTCTGTCACCAATAAACAAAAGGACCTTATTTCGTGGAATGAGTTATTTTGGTCAGCATCCATAGTGTGCGTTAACGCGCTTATGCATCTCTGTCCGTATGTCACGCATCATTTGGGGAATACCTGCAAATCTTGGTGTATATGAATCTTCTCGTAGCGCAGGGTTTGATTCACAATCGAGATTGTCTTTATTTGCTTAAGTTGTGATTTGAAAAAAAGCTGCCACTGCTTCTTTTTTGATACTTTTCATAGTGGCCAGAGCGAGTCCTCGAGAATCAGAGGTGAAGGACCGGCATCAAACAATCTTTGTACGCAAAAATTCAAAGGACTTTAGGATGCAATTTCGCAATCGAAAAAGTAGTAGCGTTTCGTTGAAGGATAGATTTTTATAAGTGAAGACGTAGGCCTCTAATATGACATATGACATTCTTGTGGCAAATCGTTCGAGAATCGGACATGGGCGTGATTGTGCACAAATGATTTATGCTGATTTTATTAATTGAACTGCGCTACACAACGCGTACAGATAGGGCATTTATAAAATTGTGACAACGAATTCGACTGCGGCCTTGCGTTCTCACAAACGTCACAAGAGCGTTAACGCTCAAGCAGGCACCACATTATTGCTTGGTCAGACACTTCCAGTATCTGTAAGCTATCACGTGCATACAAAAAAGCCATTCGACTAGAGACGGAAGTCAAGAAAATGCGATTGCCGAAACTGCGTACGCTACTCGCGCGACAAGCGCTGTCGTCACGATTTTATGCACAATAGCTATTGGTTGCTGCAAAACCAGAGTAAGTTCCTCACACTATCGCATAGGGTAGATATATGTAGCAAACATATTCGATAGTGCACAGCAGCTCTATAAAGACGTTGAAACATTTGCAAAAGGAATGATCGAGAATGAGCGTGAAATTTGCTAAAATCTAAAATAGTTTTTGATCAAAGGATTTTCCTCCAGAGGATTCCACAAACTTTCAGACAGCTCAAAATTTACGCTCCGCGTTAGACATTCGATGTGGTTACCGGCTTTCTTCATGGCTAAAAATCGAAAAATGACATAAGCGGCATATCTTGCCAAAACAATGTTGGACTGTTCATATATAAGCGTGGGAACCCAGGCAAATATGGATAACTTTACTAAAAATGTTTACAAGCAATTACAGTTATGGATTTTTAGCGATCTCAAAATTGACTTTGCATGAAAACCAAAAAAACGATATTTTCGTATCAAGCCATCTTTGTTCCTTGAATTATAGCCGAAAAAAGAATATAGCAATAATGTGAATATCTGACGTACAGAGTGTATGAGCTTGGGAATTTGTAGGATATTTTGGATGGATACCTGATTTGCAGTTAAAAATTGGTTAGATTAGTCTTCGTGCGAATGTTTCAACGTCATCTTGTGGAGCTTGCTTTGCTCTATCTATTCACTCTGCCGCAGTAGGACGGACACTTGCATTAATTTTGGAACACGTTCACGATCATACGACCCGCGGTGGAACGTACGTGTGCTGCCGTTCCGCACGATATGACCCAACCGTGGGTCGTACGTTTTCGGTTCTACAATACCGCTCACATTTTTTGAAAAATAGACGCGAATGTATGGACATGTATGGACATGTATGGACATCACCGTCGCGTAGCCATATCTCGCTTCAGAGTGGACGAATTCTGAATCCAAAGCCACCATTCGATTCAGCCCGGCGCGGAGAATTTTATGATATATTGGAAGTGGGAGTACGGTGTCTTCGATATTCCGTTTCCAGTTTTTTCAAATTGTTCTGCGGAGGTCCTTTCGTGAATATGAGAAGTAACGCCTACCCAACATATAGGACTTTACTAAGTACTATTCGATAATACTGTTCTTGTAGATTATTGTCCGTTAAAGAGTAGGCTCAGAATTTTTTTCCAAAGGAGATGGAAGCGTTGGTGAATTTTGGAAAAATCACGCGTTTTTAAATTCTACTCGCCATAACTTCCTTTGGAATAAGTACATTTGAATCCGAAAACAGCGCCTTGCTCAACTCATCAAGGCGAATCTTTCTATATACAGCACGTCCTTGATATTTCGAATTCAGTATTCTTGAATCTTTCTGAGGACGTCTTTTCGCGAAGGTGTAAAGCAGCGAGTATTGTCCCGAGTACATTCCAGCAAGGATCTTTCGATAGCACTTTTTTTGTAGATTATGATGTGCTAAATAGTAGCCGCGGATTTTTTTCCAAAGGAAACAGAACGGCTGGTGAGTTGTGGAAAAATCTTGTCGTCCCGAATTCTACTCGCCATAGTCCCAGGATACGAAGCTATCTTGCTAAGCAGATGTGAGTTTTGAAATCAGCAGGTCGGATAACCTCTGTGAGCAAGTTTTCCGATATGTTCGGGTTATTCCATTTTTTCTCGTTTTACGCTCCGGAAGCTCGCCGATGGATTTTGGTCAAAATGTTGATGCTCTTGAATTGTAAGGAAACTTCGCTTATAGAGGTTTTTCGAACACGCTCTTTACGAAAATCGTGGTCTTTGAGTATTACAGGGTCTTTTTGGAGAGATACGGTGAGATGACTGTAACTGCATCACGAAAGTGCGTAACTTTGCCCGCACTTCTCGCGTATCTGTCAGAAACCTTGTCTGCTTGCTTTTCTTAGTCAAAGTTACAAGGAACTATGCTATCGAATGGTGCATGACTCAGGCTCCAGTCTGTGAAATTCGCCGAATTACGAGCCTACGAAAACACGTCCTCATACATTTTGCCCAAAATGTAAAGATCGCATATTTCGTCGAAATTCCTCCGTGAGCGCTTGTATGACGCTCGTTGCAGATATTATGTTCGCTTCGTCCAACCACTCCCACTGTAATGAATATGGTGCTTGCGTGTGCTTCAGCTGCTCAATTGAATATCAAAGCTATTTCGTGGCTAGAACTTAAAGCACCAAATCTAACACAATAAGATCCATTAAAAATGTGGAAGGATTTGATCAGCGTGTTGTACGAGGCTCACGGAGGAATTTCGACGAAATATGCGATCTTTACATTTTGGGCAAAATGTATGAGGACGTGTTTTCGTAGGCTCGTAATTCGGCGAATTTCACAGACTGGAGCCTGAGTCATGCACCATTCGATAGCATAGTTCCTTGTAACTTTGACTAAGAAAAGCAAGCAGACAAGGTTTCTGACAGATACGCGAGAAGTGCGGGCAAAGTTACGCACTTTCGTGATGCGGTTACAGTCACCTCACGTATCTCTCCAAAAAGACTCTGTAATACTCAAAGACCACGATTTTCGTAAAGAGCGTGTTCGAAAAACCTCTATAAGCGAAGTTTCCTTACAATTCAAGAGCATCAACATTTTGACCAAAATCCATCGGCGAGCCTCCCGGAGCGTAAAACGAAAAAAAAAGAAATAACCCGAACATATCGGAAAACTTGCTTACAGAGGTTATCCGACCTGCTGATTTCGAAACTCACATCTGCTTAGCAAGATAGCTTCGTATCCTGGGGCTATGGCGAGTAGAATTCGGGAGGACAAGATTTTTCCACAACTCACCAGCCGTTCTGTTTCCTTTGGAAAAAAATCCGCGGCTACTATTTAGCACATCATAATCTACAAAAAAGGTGCTATCGAAAGATCCTTGCTGGAAGTACTCGGGACAATACTCGCTGCTTTACACCTTCGCGAAAAGACGTCCCCAGAAAGATTCAAGAATACTGAATTCGAAATATCAAGGACGTGCTGTATATAGAAAGATTCGCCTTGATGAGTTGAGCAAGGCGCTGTTTTCGGATTCAAAATGTACTTGTTCCGAAGGAAGTAATGGCGAGTAGAATTTAAGAACGCGTGATATTTCCAAAATTCACCAACGCTTCTATCTCCTTTGGAAAAAATTCTGAGCCTATTCTTTAGCGGACAATAATCTACAAGAACAGTATTATCGAATAGTACTTAGTAAAGTCCTATGTTGGGTAGAATAGGCGAAAAATTGGGTAGGCGTACTTCTCATATTCACGAAAGGACCCCCGCAGAACAATTTGAAAAAACTGGAAACGGAATATCGAAGACATCGTACCCCCCCCCCCCTTCCAATATATCAGAAAATTCTCCGCGCCGGGCTGAATCGAATGGTGGCTTTGGATTCAGAATTCGTCCACTCTGAAGCGAGATATGGCTACGCGACGGTGATGTCCATACATGTCGCTACATGTCCATACATGTAGCGACATGTCCATACATGTCCACACATGTCCATACATGTCCATACATTCGCGTCTATATTTCAAAAAATGTGAGCGGTATGTATAGGCGTTTCCCGTGCGTATAGCGGGCGTGGCCCTGCAGACATTTGAACACGTCGAGAAACTTGTTGAACCTCCA